GTGAGAGGAGGGAGCAGATACCAATCTCGGGAAACTGCCCGCAATTGCATCAACAGTGTGAGGGAGGAGTCCTGGGTTCCAGTGCCCATTTGCCCCAATCTCACACACACACACAGAGTACTCTGTCCAGTCCTGGCCTTTCTTTTTCTTTTTTTTTTTGGTACTGGGAATCAAACTCAGAACCTTGCACTTGCCATGCAGGTGTTGTGCTGTTGAGCTATATCCCCAAGCCTAGTCCTAGGCCTTTCTAGTTTAGGAATTTCAGGATTTAGAAATCACACAAAAGTAGTAGGGGCTGGTGAGATGGCTCAGTGGTCTAAAGCACCTACTTAGAACAAGCTAAGCAAAAGCACAGGGACCACGGTTCAATCCCCAGCACCACATGCCAGCCAGCCCTGCCCCCTGGTGGGCTGAGCTGGCCACACACACACACTTAAATAAATAAATTTTTTTTTTTTTTTTTTGCGGAACCGGGGATTGAATTCAGGCCCTTGCACTTGCCAGGCAAGCGTTTATTCCACTGAGCCATCTCCCCGGCCCCAATAAATATTTTTTTTAAAAAAAGTTAAATTAAAAAAAAAAAGTAGTAGGGCATGGTAACACATTCGGTAGGAGGATCATTCTAAGTTCAGTGGGGGCCAGGGAGATGGCTCAGTGAAATAAGTGCTTCCCTGGCAAGCCAAAGGGCCTGAGAGTTCAATCCCCAGTCTGAAAAAAAAAAAAAAAGACCAGCCTGGCTTACAAAGTGAGCTCAAGGCCAGCTTGAACTACATAGCAAGACCCTGTCTCAAAAACAACCTGCCACTCAAAAAAAAATAGTAATCACACAAAAGTCTTTTGGTTTTTTTTTAGTTTATTTATTTATTTATTTGGCTCAGGGTCTCACTACAAAGCTCAGACGGTAGTGATCCTCCTTTCAGCATCTCCAGCACTGGAATTACAGGTGTGTGCCATCATGCCTGTTTTTGGTGGCTGGCTCAGCCCAGGGCCAGCATGGCATGTGGTACCGGGGATCAAACCTGGGTCCTTGAATTTGCCAGGCAGGCACTCAGACCCCTGAGCTATCTCCCCACCCTACACAAAAGTCAACAGAAATTGCATTTTCTGGACCCATCCTTATTCTAGGTTCTCTGGGGCTGGCTTTCTGTCTTTCTTTTTCAGTGTTTTAGGGATTTGTATACACTAGGAAAAGGCTGTATCACTAAGCTATACCCAGTCTTTTCCTTTCCTTTTGTTTTCTTTTTTT